GGGTTCAAGTCTCAGCTGAGCCACTGGGGGCTACATGACCTTCGGCGAGTTGCTCACTCTCTCTCCATGCCTCAGTTTCCTCACCTGTAAAATGGAAATGATGATGGTGCCTTCCTTGGGAGCTGTTGTATAGTTTAAGTGAGTTAGCCTATGCAAAGTGATTGGAGCAGAGCCTGGCACAGAGTCGGTACCCTGCAAGGACGGGTGACTCTTATCTCCCTGACCACCGGAAATTCTCTCCATGGGCCTCCCCACTCACCCAAATACACTGTCTTTTAAGAAGCTGAGGCAAATACTCTACCTTCCATTAGTCTGCTTGTAAAGTCAATTTCAACACACCTATTTTCTGAGAGTTTATATTATCTTGTGCTCCAGGAAATCCAGGATGAATAAGCCCCAGCCTTGCCTTTCAGATCACAGCCCATGTGAGGAAACAGACATTCCAACAAAGATCATCACTGGACTTTGGCAAAAACTGGGAATTGGCATTACCCGTTAAGTGGCTTCCACATTAAGACTTTTTGCCTTACCGTCCTAATACTCCTAAAGTACTTCAACATCCAGTGATATTCTCAGTCAAGGTGTTTGCCTTGTGTCCCATGAAGTATTCCACACATATATGCTCTGACTTGTTCAAATGGATGGGAAGGAACCATTCTGGGGCTGGGCCTTCAAATTCTGGCCCCCACCACTCTACCCCAAAAGCCATCTTTAACCTGCAGGGATATGGGAGCTGCATATCAACTTGTGGTGGATCAGGGTGTTCAAGCATCTCTAGCAGAAAATTCCCAGGGCCTGGGAAGCTGGGTTTCTGGTCTGGCATGACTTTGGACTATGATATTTATTGCTTATTATTTATTATGATATTTATTGCTTCACATACACAGTATACAGAAGGACATCTTTCATATAGAGACTAGTGTAGAAGTAATAAAAATAACTTAAGTGGACATTCAGTATGACTTATCCATGTGCCAGGGACTAGATTAAGTACTTTACCTATTTCATACCATCCTCCCAACAGCCCTAAGAGGCAGGTATCTCACTTTCAGTTGAAGAAAGTGACACGAAAGAGGCCCCAGTGGAGCAAGGCAGAGACACCCCAAACTGGCTCTCTGAAAATCCAGAAAGGCACTGGTGGAAGCCATTTTTCACCCTTCCACAGTATTTGAATGGCTGGTTCCAAGAATAAATTTTCAGATCCACTCAAAAGGAAAGGAAAAAGCCCTGAATCAAAAGAGAAAGCCCCCATCCTAAAAATAGCCTATTCAGACACTGTCATCCCACGGATTCCAGTCTCATCTAGATCCCATTGGTCCTCTAAGATTTCCAACTTCTCCAAAAGCATAAAACCAGCATGTGCAAAAACTAACACAAAATGTAAAATCAACTGACTTTTTCCTTCTAGAGTTAATACTGAAGGTTTGCAGAAATGCATTGCTTCTAGGAAGAAGGAGAGGGACCTAAAAAAAAAAAAACAAAAACATAACCCATGCTGACAGAGGAGGGAGGAGAGCTGAGATCCATTATATTTTTAAACCCTTAACACACTGATTTCTGTTACAATCCCTCCATTGTCAAATCCAAGCAAACAGAGGCTCAGAGGAACACCCAGGCATTCAGAGATTCAGGGTTTGGTTTGGGTTACTGTTGGTTAAAAAGAAAGATGCACCAGACACACACTTTCCAACATGAACTTTGCCATCATTCCACCCCAGAGACAACCAGAACTAGTTTGTAGGATCTCTCTCACTCCCTCCAACTCAAGTGCAAGGAACGACCACTACAGCTCAGATTCAGAATGCTGAGATCAAGATTTTCAGTAAACCTCAGGGCTTCCCTGGTGGTCCAGTGGTTAAGAATCTGCCTTGCAATGCAAGATACACAGGTTCAATTCCTGGTCCGGGAAGATGCCACATGCCGTGGAGCAACTAAGCCTGTGTGCCACAACTACTGAGCCAGCACTCCAGAGTCCACAAGCCACAACTACTGAAGCCTGAGTGCCGAGAGCCCATGCTCTGCAACCAGAGAAGACATCACAATGAGAAGCCCACACACGACAATGAAGAACAGCCCCCATTCACCTCAACCAGAGAAAGCCCGAGTGCGGCAACAAAGAACCCACCACAGACCAAAATAAATGAATAAATCTTAGGGGAAAAAAAAAGATTCTTGTTAAACCTAAAATGATGCATTCAATGGCTGGCTTAAAAATAGTTTGGGGTCCCAAAAAAGGATCCTAAAAAGTGATGAGCGATCACAATAATTAAAATCATTCTGATTGCCAGAGTCTCTGTGAAAACTCTTTCATTCAGCTCCACCTCTGAACATTTCATTCAGTTTAGTGGCAAGAGATCTGGGGTCAATTCTTTCCAACGCAGTACAGCAGCATCTGCAATTTCCTCAGTGGTGTGAAGAGTGAGTAACAGCACAGGTAATCAATGTTTGTAAACAAAAACCTGTGATGCTGAAACAGGGAGGGGGAGGAACAGAAAATCTCGGAGAAACCCCAGGTCTCTGGTGGCAATGGTGGCCTCTCCAGAAAAATGTCCCCCTCCCACCTCCAAATGAATTTTATAACGATTGTAAGTTATCAAAACTGCAGGGGTTTCTAAGTAATGTCAGCATTGCATCTTTTCTGAATTTCTAATGATGATGATCCAATACATCCAGGGTCACCTGTGCCCAACAGGTGGGGTGAATTTCTAAAATGATGTTGTAGGTTTCACCCATAGTGTCCCAGGCTGAATAAATAAGTCCAACAGCAAGACCATATTATAAGATGAAAGGAAATCTTTCTGATTCCATTCCCAAATCACCATGGAAAGGGTACTGATCCATACCACCCACCCACCGACAGGAATACTTCAATTACATCGTCCAGATAAGTAATACACGGTTTTGTTTGCATGGACACTTTAATGAGGATCTTGTTAAGCATCTGTTACGGGCATGGACGGAAGCTCATTTTATGCTCTAGAGATGTATTTTGAACTATCAAAGGTGAAACAGCATTATCATCAAATACAGTGAGCAATATAAACACAATCTGAGAGAAAGGATCATGAGTAAATTAAATCCACAAATATTTATCGAGTGCCTGGGCCTTAATACTGAGATGCCCCTGTCGGAGAGCTCCCTTAACTGAGCCTTCTGTGAGAAGCAAAAAGATGCAATCACAGTCTTTCTGAAAAATAGGCAATTAATCACACACTGCTTCAGATTAACTGCAACGCCTGAGAGCCCCCACATCATTTTGCCTTTGCCCCTGAAATCTCATTCCCTCAAGCCCTTCCCGGTTTTTCAGATCACTGGTTAGCACCCCAAGCAAGCTTTCTTCCTGATCTGCCTAGCCCACTGGTGACCAGAACTGGAACTCCCCACGCACCTCTGTCCAGTCCAACGGGTGACCTTCAGTGCTCTGTGTGTGTCAAGGTTAAGCTGCCCACTAACTATGCATCCTTTAACAGCAGGCCTCCAATTCTGCCCCGCTCTTCGATGCCAGTGCAAAACCTCCCAGCCCTGCTGGGCCGTTTCAAACCATCCGATGGCACATTCAACAGCTAGTGAGCTTTCTGCCTCTTCTCCCATGATCCAGATTGCTTCGGGGCTGCACAGCAAATTAGCCAGCAAGGTACAGCCACCACTACCGAAAACCCCGAGTTTTAATGCAAGCCCCCAGGGAGGGAGGAAAGAAGGGTCACCTCGGTCTCTTTCAACCCAAACAGCTCTTCAAATTCTACTGCAGCCCACAGTACTGCAGCCCCTATGTCTCATCAAGTGCCCAGTTACCCCCCAGATGTCTAAAATCTTTTCAGGAACGTTACTGTCAAAATAGCACCCATGGGGAGACACCATCCAAGAACCCACATGACATCCCTTCAAATCGATATTGGAGCTACAAGCACAACAAATCGGGAATAAATGCTGCCAAGATAAAATCAAATTCTGTTTGTCTTCTAAGTGGGCAGCCACTGATCACCCAACATTACTCCAAGAGCCTCCAAGTGAGGGAGCTGGGGCTTCAGGGTGCATAACACAATCTGGTTCAAGACCTTCCAGGGGAACTCACACCCCTGAACACAAAATGTCATCGGATCATGAGAACGAAGCAAGACACTGAGCTCTGACATCCACAGAAGCTACTGCATTTCTGACAAATATCCAGGAGGCTGGAAGCCAGGGACCCCCCGCTCCCGCTGTCTCCAACTACCAAGCGCTGGACTAACACATTTTTCATTAGCTTTTTCAAGAATGGAGAAAGATCAATCGTGTCAAGAGGCTGACAGTGATATTTATACTTCCATTTCCTAGTCTCCTGGTCTGTTCTCTCCCCAGTGAAGCCCAGTTTCTGTGAATCAATGACTCGGCTACATCACACGCCCGCCTGGTGGCTCACGGTAACGGGGCTCCCTCTGGCCACCAGTGCTTTGCCGGCTCAGAGGCTCAGCTGGCAGATCCTGGATCTTGCTGAAGACTTTGAGCCGAGCTGAGTGCCATCCCTCCGTCAGGGCTTTGGTACAGCCACTTGCAGCTCAGCTAAGCCCATCAGGAAACCCTTACCTCATGAGAAACAGATTTTAGGATTCTTTCAACCCTGCCAAGATAGCAACCTCCATCTACCCACCTGAGAGACAGAGAGATACACAGATGGATAAACAGACAGCTCAGCTCAGCCCTGTACCGAAGATCTGCACTGCTAGGTATCTCCCACTGCCTCCTCCCCTCTAAAGAAGACCAAAGACTGAAAAACTAACCCAAAGTACCCAATTGACAATTACGATGCTATGAACAGGAAGAGGTACCTTTAAACACAGGAAAATGAGAATACGAACAGTCTATCCCACCAAAGCCCAACCAGGTAAATTGCTCTTCAAATGCAGGCTGATAAACAGTTTTCCTCCACCACACTCCCCCCACCCTGCCGCCACCACCACCACCTTTGGGCTCTATGCCTTGTATCAATGCAGGTCCCTTAGAAAAGTCAAAATTTCACTTACTCAGATCTACCAAGAATTCCCAGTGCCTTGCTATACGAAAACCCCACAAACGGCAGTTCTTCGCCCGAGAAACCTGAGGGGTTCAGCTGGCACGGAGAGGATGAAACCCACGAATTCTTCTCTGGTTCATCAAAATTGGAGGTGTCATCATCAGACTTGAGGGTGGGAACGAAGGGGGGAGGAGCTGGTTAAAGAAAAAACAAGAAGGGGGTGGGGGGGAGAGAAAAATTCAGATAGATTCAACACTGTTGCGGAGAAGAAAATCGTCTCACTCCTTCGGCGTTCCTGATGGCACTGCAGCGCCTGCTTTCAATCTCGCTCACACACAGGCAGACCCAGCCTCTGCTCTGCTTTACAGCAACAAGAGCTTAACCCCTTCCCTGCCAACATGGCCACCAACCCGCAGACGGGCTGCCTTTCTTGCCGGGGGAAACTGAAGGGTGAACTCAAACAGGTCACTTGGTAGAACAGAAAGAAAGCACTTCTTGGGGAACTCGTTGCTGATATTTCCAGAAGGCTGCTACGGAGCGTCAGCTGGCTAGTGCTGGCATGCCAGATGAACCTAAACCTATTTATTTCCTCTTCCAGATAGATCTAAATCGTTCACACTTAGTGCTAATCACTGGAATAAGGCAGAGTTTCTACATTTCATGGATTAGCCAGAGTGAGAGGAAGGAGGGGCAGGAGAGAGGGTTTGAGAGGTATGTAACTCGTGTGAGGAGAGCACTGCAGTCTAACCCATTCATATCCGGATGAGTATACTCACAGCTCTTATGGACCACTTTTTTTTTTTAAGTTCATTATCCCTCCTCCCCAACTCGATCATGCCCCATGAATCCACCGCAGTTTAATCAGCATGATGAAATGCCAGCCAAATAAAGTTCTTCCCAGTGATGTACAGCACCTCTGCGTGCTGACGGTGTGGATGGACAGCTGCGTCCTACCTCGTTAAGGCATGACTCCCAGCTAGGAACGTCCTACATCTTCTCCGCTTCCTGCGGACCTACTAAGCTCTCTCAGTCAGGGAGGTGGACACTGGTCCATCAGTCACCAGGAGGCTGCCCATTGTGGTGGGCTCCTGGGGGTGCAGCCGGCCAGAAGCGTTACCATGGCTGCAGGCTGAAGCGTCTGTGGTAGGCAGGCTGGGTGAGCAGGCGAGCTGGGCATCACATCCCCCGCAGTGCAGGCTTCATGCTCCCCGCTCTGTGCGTGCTCTGGCGGTAACCCCACCTGGCTGCCTGCGTGGCAGGGGCCAATGCTGATCTGAGTGACAGAGCAGCATGAGTCACGGCCAGAGCTCTCGAGAGCGCCCCCTAGGACAGTTGTCACAGCCCTTCCCTGGACCAGGCTTCTTTTTTAACTCCTTGTTTTCTAGATAAAGCTCAGTGCCAGATAGGAGCAGCAGTCTATTTTCCACTTACAGACTCCAAAGAATCTGGCTGTTTCCAAAGTTCCCCAGTGACAACAACAACATCGGAAGCAGCAGGCAGCATCGGGAAGGAGATGGAGTAGTGAAGGGATGTGGAGTGGGGAGGAGATGAAGACAGAATGAGGAGGTCTGGCAGCTCCCAGGAAATGCAAAAAGAACATTCTCAGAGCTTCAGGTGCACTGAGATGTGGTAGGAGACTGAAAACGTAATATGTGCACTTCCAGAAAATTATTTAACACCGCCAAGCTCTTAGAGAATTTAAATCTTCCCTGTTAATGTCAGAACCTACTTGCTTAACACTTTGAAAATTAGGTGATGGAAAGAAAAATCATTGAATGCTTCAGCCCCCCTCCCATATGTACTTTCCATCAACATGGGCTCAAATCCAATTGGATTTCCATTACCCAATATCTTTTTTTAAGTAAAAAAAAAAAAAACACATACAAAACACTTTTTAATGGAAATTATATTTCATGAGGACAAAAAAGTGTCCCATCCCAAAATAAGGAAACTCAGATAAAGACTGAGGAAATATATGAAGAGAGATTTGCAGATGATATTAATATGGAGGCATCATGGTTGGTGGCACACACTTTGACTCAGTCAGTTCAGTTGCTCAGTCGTGTCCGACTCTTTGAGACCCCATGAATCGTAGCACGCCAGGCCTCCCTGTCCATCACCAACTCCCAGAGTTTACTCAAACTCATGCCCATCGAGTCAGTGATGCCATCCAGCCATCTCATCCTCTGTCGTCCCCTTCTCCTCCTGCCCCCAATCCCTCCCAGCATCAGGGTCTTTTCCAATGAGTCAACTCTTCGCATGAGGTGGCCAAAGTATTGGAGTTTCAGCATACTTTGACTAAGTGGGTTCAAACCCCAGCTCTACCACTAACCAGCACTGTGACCTTGGGAAACAAAGTCCCTTAACCTCTCTGACCCTCAGTTTCAACATAAAGAAAACTCCCTCAAAGGGCTGCTAGGAGGTTTAAGTGAAAGAAATCTATATAAAGTGTTACTGGCACAGTTTTTTGTATGTAATAAACACTCCATACAGACCACCTGCTGTTATTATTGCCCACATGACACAGATATTTGTGACAGACCCCATGGTACAAGGCTAGTGGGAAACAGCAAAATCTGTGTTGAGTATGCTTCTCTCTGCCCAAGGCACGGACACACTCACACATGTTTGTGTTCATCATTTCATCTCATTCTTAGCAGAAGTTTAATTCCCTTTCTACTATATACTAATTTATCTTTGAGAGACTGAAATAGAATTTCTGAGTAAGGAGTATGATTAATATAGGGGCAGGAGCCACCCTCTGTGAAACAATTACAACTGAGAAATTCTGTACTATGAAATAAGATCCCTCTTTAAACTCCATCAGGCTCAAGGCTAGTCTGTGTAGTTAAGATTAGATCAAAGGCCAGGGAAGCTTCAATATGAGGGAGAAGTCAACATGAAATACCCCTGCTGGTAACAGGTGAGAAATTCACAGGACAGATGAAAAACCAAGAACGTCAGCCTTTAGACAGGTAGTCGGTTGGCTAAAACGGGAAATGCTGAAAAGTGGGGCTTCTGGGAGCCACATTTGGACAGGGAAAAGTATCACAGCCTCAAGCCAAAGAGAAGTGGGAGAAATGGAAATTCTCAACACACCAGAAAATGATGGATGTTCACCCTTGTCCAGAGCCCTTTGGGGGGAAAGAAACAGCACGGCTATTAAAACCGTAGCCCCAGGGAGGGTGTCTGTATTTACAGTACCCTACATGGTGTGGTAACTGTAAGCCAAGAAATTATCACCAGTACTGGTCCACGATCCCTTAGGGTACTGGCAGATTACGTGGAGAAATATTTGTAGGGCCACATTCACAACCCAGGACACAACCCAGAAGGCAAGATTCCTCCTCTCTCTCTTTCATTCCCATACATACATACATACACACACACACACCACATACTCTCTCAACTAGAAATGAATCCACAATAAAAAAGTAAATATCAATAACTACACATAACAAGGAAAAAGAAACCACCCAAAACACCATGAAGGAGCATCAGAAGATACAAGAAATGGGAGAATTAACCCCCCAAAAACTGAAGATAAGAGAACAATCTAAAATGGACCACAAAATAAATTTTCATTCATTACCAAGATAAATAAGCAAAAATTCTAATAAAAGAACAAGATATGCTGAAGAAAAGACAAAGCACATTTGAAAAGAACCAAATGGAACTTCTAAAAATGAAAAATATGATTGCTGAATTTAAAGTTTAAAACTCACTGTTAAACAGACACAGCTAAAGAGAAAATTAGTGAACTAGCAGTAGGACCTGAGGAAATCACAAGGAACCATGTTTCATAGGTGTGATCTGTAGACTGACAGCATCATCAGGGAGTTGGTTAGAAATAAAGAATCACAGGCCTTACACCATGACTCATGAATGAACACTTGCATTCTAACAAGAACCCCAAGTGATCTGCAAGAACACGACAGTTGGAAAAGTGCTCATATAAAATGCAATACACAGAGACAAAGAGACAGGAGGAAAAGAACGAAAAGGTTCAATGCACCTCTAATATGAGCATCAGAAAGAACAGAGAACTAGCTCAAAATCTGGATGACAGATTTTAAAAGACTGTGTAAGCTGGAGACTACCAAGTATATGACCACATCTATATCAGACTTCCCTGGTGGCTCAGTGGTAAAGAGTCCACCTGCAAAGCGGGAAACCTGGGTTTGATCCCTGGGTGGGGAAGAGCCCCTGGAGAAGAGAATGGCAACCCACTCCAGTATTCTTGCCTGGGGAATCCACATGGACAGAGGAGCCTGGCAAGCTGCAGTCCACGGAGTCGCAAAGAGTCGGACACAACTGAGCGACTAAGCACACACACATACTGGGGGGAGGGGCTAATTCTCCTCTTTCTTATACCTATTGGAAAAAGTCCCTTTTTTTGGATCCTCATACAAAATGATTTTGTTGCTTTATAAAGGTATTCATTGGTCAGTGAAATCACTGGATTTGCATCTACATTGATGGAAGTATACAATATACCTAAGACCACAGCACAGTGCCAGGCACTGAGCAGGTACACAATAAATACATGCTGAATAGATACATAATTAAACAATTAGAAAATAACTCTTGCAAAGAGAGCACCTGGCATAATACAGGCAGTGAAGAAGCTACTGTATGTTTGAGTTAAATGAAGAGGCTTTAAAAGTAGAGATTGTTCTGTCTGAAAAATATGTTAATGAGTGCTTATATTAATATTTCCTGACAGAGCAATCATCAATTCACCCCCACTGTCCATGCTCACTACATTCAATAATGGCCAATAAGAGGTCCTATATTAAGATCTGTTTGTTGATAAAAGCCACTGAAACAACAGGATGAAGTTTTCCCTATGTATTTTTTAAATAGGTCAGCCTACGCTTGAGATCGCATCAGGGCACATTCTCTTTAGTGGCAGGGGCTACACAAGTACGTTCTGGAGGCCCCTCCCACCGCCACCCAGTTATAAGATGGCAGAACAAGGCTTTTAGAAACAAAGAGCTATTTTAAGAACTGTAGTTAATCTCTCTCCTATAAATCCTCTTTTTAAAAACTTGACATTCATTAGAAGCTGGGGGCAGGGTGTATTGCCTTCAAAAACATTCACGAATTTAAAAAGAAAAGAAAAACAAGAAAAGGTAAATGGATTCATCCCCTTGACCCTACTTCTTTCTAACACATCCCACTGAGCTCCATT